GCAGACGATCTAAATGAGGTCTACTGCAGGTTTGAAAAAAAAAAAAACACACCCGCCCTGAACAACTCTCCACACAACCATTCACACCATTCACACCTCCTGCAACCCCCATCTCCCCCACACCTGCACCTCAAATCAGTGAAGATGATGTGCGCCAGGTCTTCCGGAAGCAGAAAAGGAAAAAAGCACCAGGCCCGGATTGTGTTACACCAGCCTGTGCTGTGCTGACCAGATGGCTCCCATCTTCACACAGATCTTCAACCGATCACTGGAGCTGTGCGAAGTCCCTTCATGCTTCAAATGCTCCACCATCATCCCCATACCAAAGAAATACAAAATTACAGTACTAAATGACTACAGGCCTGTGGCGCTAACGTCTGTGGTCATGATGTCATTTGAAAAACTGGTGCTGGCCCACCTAAAGGACATTACTGGACCCTTGCTGGATCAGTTTCTTCCCTCAGGCCATCCATCTCATGAACACTTGACAATAACTGTGGAACACACACTATTTATTCACTCATACACTTATTTATCTAACACACACACTTAGTCTACACCTCAAATTTGCACATAATATACCTGTACATACAAAATTGTCTATTGTAATATACCTGCATATACAATTGTCAATTTCTATATTGTTATTCCTTATTTACTTGTTCTATTTTTTATTATTCTTTTATTATCTGTGTTTTTGTTCTGTCGCTGTCATTCTGTTGCACTGCGGAAGCTTCTGTCATGAAAACAAATTCCTCATATGTGAAAACATACCTGGCAATAAAGCTCATTCTGATTCTGATTCAGAAGGCGGGGCGTCCTGCGATTGAGCAGCCATATTGAGCATTGCATTTTTCCCATTCAAAACTATACGAGTGACATGTCTTGGGTATTCTATAGTCTTTGACAGAGGTTATGGGCATCAAAACTTTTCAGTCACAGAAGATTCAAAATCTGGGTCTTTCAGCTCATGCATAAATCAATAATTAACACATTTGTAATTTAATATGTGGGGGTAGTTAAAATATGGTCCACTGCATTACACAAGCGCTCAGGAGTGCTGCCACCAACACAAACCACTGTTTACTCACCCTGTTGCACACATACCTTGTATTTTTATGATTTCTGTGATGCTTCACTAGAGGGCATGCTTTTTATGGTTTGTGGTTTATGGTTTGTCATGTAAAATTCTCTTTTAAAATGTAAAACCGTGTGGTGTGGGTAGGGCTTCCTGCTCGACGCCACATAAATGCAAAATCTGATGTTTATATTACATTTAGACATTTAGCAAACGCTTTTATACAAACAACTTACAATATAGGAACAATATAAGCAACACTATTGGGAAATAAGAGAGAAGAGGAGTAATGCAAAGAGATTTGTTTTCTTGGTATGAGAGGGTAAATTACAATTATTAATAATAATCATCTTTTTTATTAATCATTATATTTTTAATATATCTATTTACAATGCTACCACATTAACCAACTAGTACAGTCAGTTATGTTGATGTTTTTAATGTTTGTTTTTGTTGACACTGTATATTATCTATGGGTTTTGTTATCATAGCAGGGTATTGCTTGTTTCAATGAAAGCACATTTAATATATTTTTGTAAATTCATATTTATAGTGAAAACAACTGTGCTGAATATACAGTAGCCTATGTTTCCAAAGGTTTTTTTATTTTTAATAAAGCATATGTGCATTACAAGTAATTGGCTACACAACAACACCATGTTCATCGTATAAAAATTAAAAATAAAATGCAATGTTGGTGTAAGGTCACTGGGAGGCACTACAGACTTAATTATACACCATGCTGTCTTCCCCTGTTTGGCTGATGCTTTACATCATCAAAGGTGTCTTTTACTTGTAAATAGTAGGTTGGTCCATCTCAAACTCTTTAGTCTTAGTTGGATTTCAAAATAAGAAACATGTATCTAATATACCACATTTAAGCACTTTGTAGAGGTACTGCCTGACCACTTTCATAATGCAAAAAAGTATAAAGTATTTTTAGCGCTGACAAGCATTGCACAGACTGATTAATCTGTTCTCATAAACCTAACTAAATTGTCTAAATAAACATAGTTTGTTATGATAACTCTCCCTAGTTTATTTATTTGTCATTAAATTGAAGCTGTATGCAAATATGCCACACCTGTATGATCGCATAAGATGCTTGTCTGCTCTGGACAGATAAAATAATATTCTAATCATCGTGCATCATTTTCTGAGTATACAAAAATTTAAAATAAATCGACTAACATCGGACCATTTTTCTCAGCACTGACTAGGAAGTTAATCATTCTTGCAATAAATTTAAACCTAAAATTTTTTGTGTGTGTGATAATTACCCATATCAATCATAAACTTATTCTTTCAGATTTAGTTTTTCCAGTATTAAAATGCTATAAATATGGCAAAGAATAAAAAGAAAGGGGAAACATTTTTTGAGGGGCGGTATAGTGTGTGAGTTTGGGTTAGTCTGTAGTAATTATAATTAGCTTTATATAAAACAATAGAAGTATGTCCTCATTTAGCCAAGTAGCTATGTATGTTCGTGTGTGAGTGAGTAAGTGAATGTTTTCGTTGGGTTGACAGATAATAGATCTAAGTCAGGGCCATCTAAACTAGTTGTTTGCTTTTTTTGGACATTAATGTATGTGGTTCAACCATAGATCCTCCCTATTGTCAGCTTTTGATCGGGTTATGATTAATCAGGAAGTTTATCTTTTTTTTTTTTTTAAGAGTTGAATTACTGGTTTGCAAAGTCATTTCCATTTCACAGGTGAGGTGAATCAACTTGAAATATCTTTTAAATGATTTTCTGTGTCATTACTATTATTTTTAGGACATGTTCAACAAATATCAACAGATAAAGTTATAAAAAGAAATTATTATTTTCAATTCGATATTAGTTCAATATATAATTTTCAAATGCTTGGATAGCATCTCTTGACACTATGTCCAGATACACTGCTTAAAATAGCATCAAATAAAATATAAATATTATATGAACACTTCTAGGGATTAAAAATTAGGGATATTGCCTTGGCAACTAACTGAAACAAGTTTATTAAAATGACTAAAGTACCAAAATTTAGTAAAAGTAAAAATTAAATAGAGCTATATATTAAGATAAAAAAAAACGAATAAAAATAATAACTGCAATATAAAAATGAAACCGAAACATAGTAAATGCAACTGAAGGTGAACAGGATGACTTCATTTCCTGTAATCTGAGCCAAATTTGTCGAGTAGAAAAGTTAACAGGTTCATCACATTGACATGAAAAAGTACAATTCAGAAGTAATTAAAATTAAAATTTCAAAAAGCCAGAAGCTAAAGCAATACCAGACTATGTGACATTCTAGGTGGTCATAGTTATGGTTCATTTTAGTTTTTAAAAATGATTTAGTATATTAAATTGAATGGTTTGGGACATACAGGGAACTGTATGTTCACTCCTTTCAGCTGCTTATTTCATCCAAGGCTTTTACGCAAAAAAAAAAAAAAAAAAAAAAGACCAGAGAAACAGCATTTTCCCCGATCAGCAAGGCAGAAAATACCGGTCTATGTGAGTAATTCCCAGGTTTGCTAGAATGGTGTGCTGTAAAACCGCTCCGAGACACGCATCCCTTCAAACCAACCCATCATCTGCATAAAGGCAACCACAGAACTGATCTAAGATCGGTTTTTAAGTGCAAAAGTACAGTTCAACGTCCTCCTGTCTGGAGCCAGGCCAATAGTAATGAGGCAGAGCACAGGGGCGTGGATGTGATAAAACAGGCAAAACAGCTATATCTCTGCGTTTCTCAGAGATACGACATACTTCAGAGAATGAATACAACAGAATATCAGAAAAAGACAAACTTGATTCATAAATAAGTATTTATTTTTATTACTTTACAGGATACAATAGACTAAAAACTATTCAGTTTGGGTAAGAGGATGATGTTAAATACTTTTACACATCACAACATACTGTTTTCTCAGTGCACTTTGCTTACACACATACATATATATATATATATACACACACACACACACACACACACACACACACACACACACACACACACACAAACACAACACAGCAGAGATGTCTATTTCTTCTTGAACTTGCCTTCATTTCATTTTTTGTAGGTAAGACTGCTAAAGGAAAATAACAAGGTATAATGTAAACATTTCCTGATACACAAACTGGTCAAATAAAGGGTAAAAACCATGGCATCAAATGAGTTCAAAATCTTGTGAGGTGGAAAGCTGCACTTGACCTTAGAGCTTCCAAACAGCATGTTTTTAGTCTTACTTTCCCCCTTTTTAAATTGCATGGCACTTGCTACATTTACTGAGTTATCACGATGGTTCTGGAAACAGTATAGAATAATAAAACATCTCATTCACCAGCTGCCAGCAGCCAAAGTCTCTGGTGCCCACACCCACTGTAATCACGTCTAACAGGAATGCACATACAGTAACAGGAAGATCAGTATGTGTGAGCTCAGCCAAATGCACCACACATGGACTTTAACTCCACGTAGCTCTTAAAAATCGGTCGAAGATGCGTTTTCATTGAGGAAGTGTTAATGACTGACTGTTTCGAATGGACAAAACAAAGAAATTTAGATCAGGGTCAACCGTTTCCTCGTACGGACCTGTGTATGTCAAAGAAATTGTATTTGTTGAGTCTTTGTAATCCACAGTTGGGTATTTAAGAAGAAGCAGAACTATAATGGGAGGTAGTACTTGAGAAAAACCTATCACAGACAATGGCTCACAGCTTCACGTGGAGACAGCACTTTAAAAGAGGAGAGAAACTCATTCACAGGTTTTATAAGTATTGCTTTTTGGGCAACAAAAGAACACACTACACCTCAGCAAGAAGCCAGGGATTGGAAATACTCCGTTCATTTAGAGGGCAACATTTCAGCTGCCGTTTTAAGCAGCTTATGAAAGCTTAAAAGCAGTGCCAAAACTGGGCAAATGTAACGCATTCAGCTCTCGAATCACTCACACACACACAACTTAGAACAGAAAAGCAATACTTAGCCTGTTCCTATGTAACACACAATCAAGACTAGAAATTGTACAGAGAGGCCTCATGAACAAAAGCACAGAAAAGAGTGTCCTGACAAAAGCCGAGAGCAATAGTCCAACAGAAGAACAGCAAAATAGTGTGCATGTGTCAGATTGCGTGCTTGCATGCAGTATGCAATGTAATAAGATGGAATACCCTTCACTTAAAATGCCGGCCGCGAAAAAGTCGGGCCGATTTTATACTTCATATATGGTAGACGACACAAACGTAAAGAAGCATTTACTGACCCTATGTCCCTATGATCAGACGAACATGCTCAACCACATGTTCCGAGACATAAAAATAATCTTCAATGCGATATAAAATGAGACTACGAAAATTTACAACACTGAAGTATGGAGGTACCAGACCAGCTAATACCAAACAACTGCACCATCATTTCAACACTTACATTCCACATAGCAATGAAATAAAAAAAACATCAAAATAGTTTCCGAGCTTGCTCTAAGAGAACTGTTAGAACTGTTTCCAAAACAAGAGAGATCCCAGTAACTGCAATTCATACGTAACGCGCTCGGAGCGCTAGAGCAAAGCTGCGACAAAGCAGCGGGAAAAGTCTTGGGGGTCGAACATGCCCCGGTTTTTTCATACCAAGTCTATTGGGTGCGTCGTTTTCCTTTTGCTTTGACAGTCCCAGTCCGAACTCGAATCCGAGGCATCCGTGCCTCGACTCGCTGTGCTGTCCGTTAAATACTTCTCATGTTTGTCCAGGTACGACGGACGTTGCGGCAAAAGGAAGTAGTGCGTGGTGCTTGCTTTCCTGCCGTTCTCCATGACGGGCAGAATGCACGGGGAACCTTCACTATTCTGTCGTTGGAGGCCACGACTGACATATTTAGGGTCCGGGGCAAAGCTCTGCGTTGGGGGCATGATCCCATTGAGGTACACAGGAAGGCTCTTTGGGCTCGGGGTGCGGGAACTACCGCCAGATAAAGGTTCTCTAGGAGGTACTTTCGGAGGTCGGTCGTCGTCGCTGTTGGCTCCCGATGATACTTCGGCTGACCAGCGGCGGTAGTCTCCAGTCTTGATTGGTCGTGGGGGAATAGGAACTCTGGGAGGAACTTCCGGTTTATCCAGGCCTTGCACGTTTCGGTGGTGACTGGACAGCCGGAAGGAGGTGGGTTTGTTGAAGCAGCCAGCGGGGCCAGAATGGGAACGCCGCAGCTTCCTTTGTGTACGTTCCTGTTGTCGGAGGCAGTTTTGCTGCTGCTGTTGCTGCTGCTGTTGGTGGTGGTGGTCGCGGAGCTCCTGTTCCCTCTGCTGGGTTTCCCGCTCCTGCCTCGGCTTTTGCGGCTGCGGCTGCGGCTGCGTCTGCGGCTTCTGCAGGGATGTTGGACCTTCAAAGTATGCATAGTTAATCTGTCCACAGCCCCTGAAACTCCTTCGACTGGGCATTCCATAGCGGAAAGAAGAGTGTTTTGAGCAAGATTCGGAAACTAGGCAGCGATTGTCATCTCCATTAAAGAACTCTACCTCACTGTCTATAGCCTGATCCGGGGAAAGCTCTGCTGAACCGGGAATTGGGGGAAGGGGTTTGGTGACTCGGCTGGGCGTCTGGGGAGGACTGATGCGGTCAGATACCGTTAGACGTTGAAAGCAGGGAACCACTTGGTCGTCTTCGGCAGAGCTGGACATGAAAGGGTCCGTGTGCAAGGTGAGTTGGGAAGGTCTGGGCTTTTTGGGGGGCAAGGGCTGGCCTCCTGGGCTGTTTGGTGACTGAAGAGGAGTCCGCTGTTCTGTTTGAACAGGAAGGTAGAAGAGAATGAGTATTTAGCAGTTTTTAAGATCTAAATGAATAAATAGTTATTTTATACAAATTATGAAACCTAAAAACCTGATTACCATCAATGTAAATGAGGTCGCTGCAAGTGGAACAGAAATTGCACTTCACCTTTAAGCTTATGACTTTCTCCAACAGTATTAAACACTATTTACATTACATTTGGCAGACGCTTTTATCCAAAGCATCAGATTTTATTAGTTTGTGCATTCCCTAGAAATCGAACCCACCATGTTCTACTGTTTGAGCCACATACACTTCAATGCATTATTACAACTTTGATTCATCCAATGACAACATTGTTTTCTTATCTTTCTCTAGCATTCAGTACATGAGTTTAAGGAACTGTTAAACACCATTATTTACTCATTCAAGTCACTGCAAACCCATATGCTATTTTTGCAGATAATTCTGCAGTTCTTTCCGTAAACAGACCGTTCATAATGACCACTTCTTTCAGTCTCCAAAAAGGAGGGAAAAAATGCAATATAAAAGTATCACATATACTATATTTCACTAAATTAGCCTTCTGAAGACATACAACAACTTTATGTGAGAAACAGACTGAAATTTAATGTGTAGTTGAAAACCTTCCCATCCGCTAAATAAAAAATAGTGCATGTTGTAAAGTCTATTTTTAAAGGGGTTTTTTTTGTTGCTGTTTGGTACTTTTGTCCATGGCCACTCTGAATTGTGACTAAATGTAAAGAAAGATGCTTTAAATCACACCATACAAGTTTGGAATGAGGGTGAGTAAATTTGAGTGAACTTTTCATAATGATGAAATTTATGTTGTAATGCTACTTACTTTCCGCTCCTGAGAATGATGGCAGCACCTGTTGCTGGGACTGAATGTTATAATCCATAGAAGAATCAATGGTGAAGTATAATCTGTAGATTAAGAACAGGAGAGCTAATCAGACAAAATCCGAGGTTCATTAACATCATATGAACCATGTTAACATCACAGACCATTTCCGGTTTTTCTGCTCAGTCATGCAGAGCATGTCCAGGGACTTGTAAAACTAATCCATGTTCAACACGAGAAAAACACACTTGTGCTTTTAGTGTTGCACTCACTTGTGTAGATCATGGTATTTCCAAGAGGGCTTAGCTCCGGCCATGCTATGCCAATGGCTGTCCCGCAGGAATAGGCTTTGCACGGGTAAACGGATCTCCTGGGCAGTCAAGCCTGCAGTGGACATGCTCCAGCTGCAGTCGGTTCGCATTCAGGCCAGGAAATGCTCCTCCCGCCAAGCTGGCAGCTGCTGGCCTATACCTGAAACACAGCCATGAGAAGACAAGAACATAAATCTCAGTAATATCTCAAGTGTTTCTCAAAAGTAGCAATAAGACTAAATAAAGAACAAATACGGAAGCCTCCTGCTTCTCAAATTTTCTTTCTTACTGAGAAAAGGACCTTTGTATTTTCACACGTCTTATCTGGAATTTCAGAACAGATCTTACACTGAACTCACAATACAAACCAATAGGAAAAAAAACAAATGAGATATTTCTATCGAAGCAAATTGAGACTGAGTAAAAAGCCATAGGAATCTTGCAAGTTGAGATACCTTCTGAAACTCAAATCTGCAATCAAAACTGATTCACTTTTATTATATAACTCTTTACTGTACATCAACTACACTTAAAAAAAAGTAAATTTCACAATTACAAATAATAATAATTCCTTACATTTATATAGCGCTTTTCTGGGCACTCAAAGAGCTTTACATAGAAGGGGGAATCTCCTCAACCACCACCAGTGTGCAGCATCCACCTGGATGATGCGACGGCAGCCATATTGCGCCAGAACGCCCACCACACACCAGCTTATTGGTGGAGAGGAGACAGAGTGATGAAGCCAATCAGCAGATATGGGGATGGTTAGGAGGCCATGATGGTCAGAGGCCAATGGGCGAATTTGGCCAGGATGCCGGGGTTACACCCCTACTCTTTTTCGAAAGACATCCTGGGATTTTTAATGATCACAGAGAGTCAGGACCTCGGTTTAACATCTCATCCGGAAGACAAAGAAATGGCAATGTGAAATTTTGAAGTATTAAAGGGTTAGTTCACCCAAAAATGAAAATTCTGTCATTAATTACTCACCCTCATGTCGTTTTAAACCCGTAAGACCTTCGTTCATCTTCGGAACACAAATTAAGATAGTTTTGATGGAATCTGAGAGCTGTCTGACCCTGCATAGACAGCAATACAACTGAAATGTTCCCAAGTCCAGAGATGTAGCAAGGAGATCTGTAAAATAATCCATGTGACATCAGGGGTTTAACTGTAATTTTACGAAGCAATGAGAATACTTTGTGCGCAAAAATAAAAACAACTTTATTCAACAATTCGTCTCCTCTGTGTCACCCTGGTGCCATTTTGGAGAGTATCCGCTGGATGTAAACAGCGTATGCTGTTCTGTGTTAGCTGCGTCACACATTTCAGTTGTATTGCTGTCTATGCAGGGTCAGACAGCGCTCAGATTCCATCAAAAATATCTTAATTTGTGTTCCGAAGATGAACGGAGGTCTTGCGGGTTTAAAACGACACAAGGGTAATTAATGACAGAATTTTCATTTTTGGGTGAACTATCCCTTTAAGAAAGACATATTTCAATAATTTGTGCCTTATTTACAAGTTATTTTGTATTTGGTCTTATTTGTGTCTATTTTAATTTCTTCAAGGAATTTTAAGAGAAACGCCCAAGATAAAGTCAATACTAGACAGAAATACAACCAAGAGCTCCATTAAAGGTGGGGTAAGCGATTTTTCAAAAATGCTTTAAACTGATTCGGGCCGAGTAGCAAAACAAACTTGTAGCCTGTTAGAAAACACTCTCTGTTTTGAGAATGCCTCACCCCTCCTTTCTCACTCTTTCTCTCTCCTTCTCTGAATCACCCCTCCTCTATCTGTTCTCTCTCTCTCTTGTATGGTGTTTGAATGTCTCTTACTCATATTCGAGGTAAAGGAGTTTGTGCTGATTTGTGAGGGGGGTCCAGCCTCCGTTGCCAGGGAGTCTATTCCTTATATGGATATGTTTTTCTGTATATGTGGCGATTTTATACAAAACACATGTTCTTGGGAAAAACATCCTGTATAGGTATGTCCCCCTATCTTCATTGGTTAAGAGGATGAAACTCCCCTCGACATATGCCTATATAAGAACTGTATTTCTATTAATAAATTGAAGTATTGAGAATACATGGACTGTGTGTTTTCTTACTTCCCGGCCGTATTTACACTTGCTAAGGAGACTGAGAAAATTCACGGTGGCAAAGAGAATATCGAGGGACCAAATTGTTATTTATTAACAGTAATTATCACCCTATTTCTTTATGTGCGGATGTTAAAATATTAGCTAAGTTGTTATTTATTAACATAGCCAATCAGCAGTAAGGGGCGTGTCTACTCATGAAGTGGAGGAGAGAGCGTTCTGTGCACAGGACGGACATTAGCCGTCCTGTGCATATCTATGGTGTAGACAGCATCACTGATTATAATGAGTTCTATTGTATTTTGTTATGCCGTGCCACTCGCGTCCGGTGTAGACATGGTGTAACATTGGTTTTGCTTTGTTTCACTCACAGAACTAATCGTTTCCTGGGTTGCGTGCGTATGCGTGGGGCGGAGCTATCAAAATAGGCGCGAGACCCTTTTGGGGTAGGGGCATGTTTGTTTTGGTGATTTCAAATGTTAACATTGGCTACCAGAAATCGCTTACCCCACCTTTAAGCTATGAAAGAGCAATGTTTGAACGGTGAAATTTTATCATTACCTCTATTATGACCATATGAACATTCAAACATAACTGAGATAATTGCAATGGTTTTGTGGTTGTTGTGGAAGAACTGGGACATTGTCTAGTTGTTTATGGAGCAGTGAACCCTGGGCTATCAGCACACCATCCAATGCACCTCCCCCTCGAGTCCCCTCGCTTTGCAATGCAGTCAGCCATGTGCACGGGACTCCAGTAGAGCTCTTTCAGAAAAGAACATTGAGCAACATTCTGCTGAGCTTCACAGCCTGTGGTATGACAAGCGCTCAGTTTGACAGCACTAAACGACACTTATGCCCCCAAAGCCCCGAGGATAGTGCCAAACCGAATGCTCTCTTAGATGTCACACACACAAAACAGTACAAACCGCAAAAGACTCAATCCAGTCTTGTAGGATGCATTGACAGCATACAATTTATCACTTTGCTGCATTCTATGAAATACTGTGTAATTTTGTCTGCAAGCACGACTTTCTGAGAGTCTCGTGCAAATGCTTTCCTCACAGAGGAAGCCATGTAATATCAAACAGTGTATGCAAATGAGTCTCAAATTTCATGCCTTGGGAACACAACTTATGTTTGAAGGAACTTGTATCTAGTGTTACTCTTTGGTGTAACACTAGAGATGGTCTAAAGCAGTTGCTTCTAGAGTAGAAAACGTTTTTCGCTCTTTGAGAAACCAGCTTTACACCCCTGAGAACGTGAAGAGTGATGGACCTGGAGGCAAGGTTCATCCTGGTTTTAGCTTACAAACACATATCACGCTCACAAGCTATCAAATCACCAACATTACGACAGTCTTCCAGAGATACAAACAAGTCATGTACCCTATTAAACGGCAATTAGCATTTTATAGAAAATTTTATTGCAGGGCTTTTTTTGCAAGCAACAGACACAACGCATAAGCATGGTTCAATGCATTTCTGCAGAACTCAGTGGGATATGCAACAGGTGCATTCATGGGATATTGCAATTGAATCAATATCACACATTTTGCAGATTGTTTGTGATGCAGAGTCAAATCTAGTCAAAGAAAGCAATGCAATGCCATTTCATAAAAGGGTATGTGTTCAAACCAGGTCAGTTGGTTCAACAGGGACGTGCATTTCTTTCTACCATCCCTGATCCGGTTCACAAATGCAAGCAGTCATGCATCCTGAAAGCTTTGGACCTTGGATACGGTCACTATGAGCACACAATGCAACCTGATCTGTGATAAAGAACCCCACGGGACAAGCGCTTCCTCTCACAACAGGTGCAAGACGGGCAGACTTCCTAGTGTCCGGCACAGACATTTCTCAATGCCTTCGGGAAGACAATGCCAATGTGTTGCAAAGACGTTAAGTAAACAAAGCATAGCAAATGTGCTCGGTGTGGCGTAAACCCCATGAAACATTCTATAAAACACTATCAGATGAACATTTATTCATTCTAACCTTTTTTACATTTAAATCGGAGATCTCAGAACCAAATCCGTACATTTGGCTGCATTGTGCAAGTCAGGAACATGTCACTACTCACTCCTAAAATCACAAGACAACAAAGCTTATTTTAGCACTATTAAAATTGAGATTTTGTTTATGATGAATAACCACATTTATTCATGAATTCAGCATAAGGGCCACATACAAGAACTGCAATGATATAGCATTACAGTAAATATACTGTAAAGTTTATATACCGTTTATGCATGATCAAGTTGTCACTTTTTTATAGCGCTTTATACAATAAAGACTGATTCAAAGCAGCTTCACAGTATTAGAGTCAATGATGCAAACTTCATTAAATATGCAAAAAAAAATCTCCATAAGCTCTATTAAGACAATAGTGTAATTTCATTATGTCTTTAGAATTGGATTACAAATGTGCTTAATTGTCAAAGTGATGTAGATAATGGCAATAGTTCTAAAAATAGGCTTTATTTTCTTCATGCATAAGAACTATAATTTCTTAACTTTGCAATGAAATGTTCTTGACAGACAAACCCCAAAACACAGGGCACTTCACAAGTGTAGGCTATACAACAATTGTAAAAAAAAATATTTCGAAAAGAGGTCCAGCAGTAAAGTGTAGAGTCATTGTACATGGCCTCAAATTACCAAATATCTGCGTCCTGACAAACCAATGATATGACACTGTGAGAAGGTATGAAGGAGAGACAGTCGCGCGCGTTCACACCCCGCTCTTGTCACCTCCGCCGCGGTTTCCTAGCAACCATACCCGCTCTACCTGTCCGCTTCCGCAAAGGGATGAGTCACTAACACTCGATCACACCTGACGAAACACACCTTATACAGTTCTTGAAGTAAGAAAAAAAGACTGATGTTTCACGAAATGAAGCAACATGTGTTAACGTCACATATTGTGACACTATCATGCGTGTCTTGTCAGCTGATCATCATCATCATCATCATAACAAAAATCTAAAGTAAATAAATATTAAATATAAATAAAAAAATTATTATGTTTTAGCACTATTCCTGCACTTCCCTCCTGACACACACACACAGAGAGAGAGAGAGACACACACACAGAAAGACCACAAACACAGACAATGCGACAAACGCAGTAAAATTCACCTTAATCTCCTGACAGATTCTAGGTGTCCGGTGTTAAATGTTCATAATGCCGTAATGATCCCGTTCGGCCCGTTGGAAAGCTTTAGTTGAGCTCTATAGATGCTAGAGGACGTTCATTAAAGCACTTGAGAGGTTTGTTCACAAACGGGTCTTCTGTTGTGCGCGGTGCTTTAAATGCTCACTGTAGTCAGAGGACGCGCAAGCCCCGCCCCTTTCAGGCGGGATTTAAAGACACAGTGCGCAGGCTGCTGTCATCTGTGAGCGGCTCTGCATATTGTTATCCTCTATGTGTTGTGCATTTGTTTGCTCTACATGTTTTATATTGAAATACATATGCAGTTAAAAAAATAAATAAATAAATAAATAAATAATAATAATATATATATATATATATATATATATATATATATATATATATATATATATATATATATATATATATATATAT